ATAGTGGTTTGGCAACTTCATCTGCCAAACGGATGTATCTCATCAGGTCCCATGACTTGTGCGCCTTCAGGTTCTTTAGATGGTCTCGAACCTGATCTTCTCCTACAGCTGGCAGTTCTTCCTTCTCCCAGTCACTGCCTTTGCCTTCTGCAACTTGGGCAATGTGGCTTGAGCTCCTGACAGTGAAGACTGAGGTAAAGAACTCGTTAAGTACCTCAGACTTCTCTATATCCTGGGTCGCCAGGTGTCCCAGTTTCTTCCAGAGAGGGCCCACATTTTCCCTAGTCCTCCTTTTATTGCTGACATACCTACAGAAGTTCTTCCTGTAACCCTTAATGTCCTTGGCCATATTTAATCCTATCAGGGCTTTAGCTTTCCTAACCTGATCTCTGGCTTCATGGACAGATGCACTACTTTAAGAGGAAAGCAACTGCTTTAATTTAATAGGTAAACTTATTAAAAGTTTACAATCACAAAAAAACCAGGTTTCCTTCAGTGTAGTGGTTTGATGTGAGCAGTAATAGAGCTGTACCCCAGAAATTGCATTAGAAGCATAAGCAGCAAGATTAGAAAATAAAATACTCAGCTGTCACAGCTGCCATTTTCTGTTATGCACAAGAAGCACTTTTACAATCATTAGGAAAATTAATTCCACGGACGTCTCATAAATGAAGTGGTGGCACCTCTTCTTTCCTGTTTTCAAATTGTAACAGACTACAAAACCAGTAAAAAGTATACACACAAATTATCAAGGACTGCAACTGAAACTGGAAATCTGTGCTCAATATATTCTGCTTCAGGTGCACTGAAGACACAAGATGAATGCAATGCAACATCCTATTAACTGACAGGCATTAAGAGCTATACCAGTACGTACTACGAATTCTGCTGGTAGCATAGGCTGGAATCATGGAGTCCACTGTCAACTCGGGGTGCAGGATACAGCCATGGGTGTAGGCATCCATAGGTAAGGAGTCTAAAAGCTCTCTATAGTGTTGCACCCTTGGATAATACATGCTCCCTTCTTCTGGCATTAATCTTGGTACCTCCTCTGGAACACAAAATTAAAAATAAAGTTTAGAAAAGAAGAACCACGTTAATTGACCAAAAGCAGTATTTCCAAAGCTACTTTGGTCACATCCAGCTGGCACAGACGATACAGCCACAGCTCCCCTTGTTCCCCACCATAACTCATCAGTGTTGTCACAGCTCAGAGAAACATATACACATACTTCATTTTAAAACATTTGAATAATTCCAATTCCTATGCAGCAACCCACATAAACATGTATTTAAGGCCTCCAAATCAGAAAACTGGATTCAGCATCTATTTTGTGCTTCTAGGAATGGGTGACCATGGCACACAACCCTTCAGCCCTCCCACAGCAGGGCACAGTTGAGGTTCTAGTAAGTTGTTACAGCTGAAACATTATCGCAGCTGCAATGCTGTAAAAATTACATTACAGCAATCCTACTCAAAGCATGTTTAGAAGTATTCCTGCACACCACTGAGTTCTACCCAGCCCTCAATCTACCTGGGCCCCAGTTCCTCATTTGATGAAAACACCAGCATTAAATACATATTATGTTCACTTAACAATAAATTTTTCTTCATGCCTTAGAAATCACAGCGCTAAACCCCTGAAACACAAGATGCTGCCTCTTCATACCTAAAAAAATAGAACTCTGAATTTCCTTCAAAATTTGAGGGAGCCTGTTTTCTGGCAATACCGACACAAAGAATTTCAAAAGCCTGCACATGATCACTTCTGAGTTTTTTCTTCCTACTTTTTTACCTCTTCATTTTGGCTCCAAAAATAATTTAGTCATTCTACTTCCTTTTTCTGCCCACGATTATTCTGGAATTAAGCATCTTCCTTTTTTTCTCAGAGAGAAGCAGGACCTGCCCGACAACAGCATTTGTGCAGCTCTCTGTTCAACATATTTTCCTCACTGCAGGGTCAGCAGAGTGCAGGGCTGCCACCACTGACCCCTCCACCCTTCCTGAGGGGGTATGGAGGACAGTGGCTGTTTTTTACTTACAGCTGCTTGTAAAGGTGCTGGAAGGCCTTCAGTTCATTTTAAAGGAATGTGGCTTTACCCTATACCAACAACTATTAGGAAAGACCATTTACTTATGAGAATAGAAACGTTTTGTGGTCCTGAATGAACCAACACGTAGCAACACAGCTGACCCAAACACTGCTGCATGCTGTGCGTACATGGGGAAGGATTTCACATGGAAATGCCTATGGGATTACCGTCTACAAACGTTGCTTCGAGGTAATCGATAATTTGCGTTGCCTCACAGATGATGTTTTCCCCATGGATCAGGACAGGTACTTCTCCAGAGGCATTTAAGCGCATGAACCACGGTTCGTTGTGCTCGCTCAGCGGCAGGTTTACATCGTGCTCTTCGCACTTCAGGGCTTTTTCAGCTATTGCCAAGCGCACCTGCAATGGCACCATCGCGGTTACCCCATGAGAACCACTCCCCAGACAGCCCTCCCTGCCCTGCGGAGCCAGCCCAGCCCAGCCCGGCCCGGCCCGG